GTGTGACGGCGCGTTGGGGGTCCCCCGTCTCCTGCACCCCGAAATGGCACAAACAGACTGCACCAGCTGGTGTAATGGAGGTTGTTTATTGCCTCTCCAGGATACAGCACAGCACAGATGTAATCTGGTCACATAGCTGGGCTAGGATGCCTCAGGCACCCTTGAGATGGGGGAGACTGGGCCCCTAAACTCCAGTCCCTTTCCCTAGGCTGTCTCCTCCATGCTTCCAGCCAACAACTCACTAACCCTCTTCCAGCCCTGCCCCCCAGCCAGGGCAGCATTCCACCTTCCTTTGTTCCTCTCCATGGGGGGTGTCTGGCCACTGGTTTGCATAGTGACTCATCCTGTTTTGCTGGGTCATGGTACCCACGGCAGCCAGTGGGGGTTACCCCAAAGCCAGCAGCATAGAAACCAGCCAGGTACCCCCACTACGTCACAATTGGCACGGATGCTTTTGCGCAAAAACACTTTTTGCAGAAAAGCGTCCGTGCCAATCTAGACGCAGTTTTGCGCAAGAAAGCCCCGATTACCATTTTCGCCATTGGGGCTTTTTTGCGCAAAACTGTTTTTAGCTGTCTACACTGGCCCTCTTGCGCAAATACATTTGCGCAAGAGGTCTTTTTCCCCAAACGGGAGCAGCATAGTATTTGCGGAAGAACACTGACAATCTTACATTAAATCGCCAGTGCTCTTGCGCAAATTCAAGCAGCCAGTGTAGACAGCTGGCAAGTTTTCCCGCAAAAGCAATTGCTTTTGCAGAAAAACTTGCCAGTCTAGACGCAGCCTGAGGGTTACAGGAATCGGAGTAACAAGTCCAGCTTGACAGTATTTCAACATTATTTCAAAATAACAGCCTGCTGTGTAGACACGGACTAGCATTATTTTGACTAGCTCAGTCTTTCCACTGACTTCAGTGGGTTTTAGATTAGTCCCTAAATGAGGATTTAAGAGTTTAACTTTACAGCCAAGATTTTCATAAATGGATACTTAACATTTTCTTTTGTGTGTGGCATATATGGGACTACATTTGAAAAAAAAAATTAATCCTTTGTCAGTTTATGGGATTCCTGTTTTCAATTTTAATATTTTGCCTTCAGAAACAAAGAACAAAAGCTTTCAGAAAACTAACAATTACACTCTAAATTCATACTTACAAGTTCATCACAGTCAGGAGCATTAGTCTGAGGTAAAATGCTGACATCACTGCAAGGTTCTGTTACACAAAATGGAGTTTGTTTGTTTTTAAACAATGACGATAAAGGTAAACATTAAGATATCTTTTATACTACAAGTCCAAGGAAAACATTTTTGGAACATCACAGGATTGCATAAGGCACTGAAAAATTTAAAACAAGTACTCTGAAAGTGAAGCTAAGCTCGCATAAAAATATTGAATGTTCTCCTATAACAAACTTCCTGTCAGGAATGTTGGGAAGAAGAGACACCAGTATTAAGCCAGATTGATGTTTCTCAATTCAGTGGAGAAAAATTATGTATTTCTCAGTGATGTTAATAAAGGCTGATGAATGTGCAACTTGCAACTGTGAGATACCTCATATATTAGAAGAAAGAACTTCCATCTGAAGGAATTACTGAAGAACATGCTTTGTGGTATGACATCTGTATGATGGAGACTTTGTCTTTTTGGCACTGACTCATGCTGTAGTTGAAGCAGAGCAGCACAATTGCAGGGGGATTTCTACAAGGAAACATTCTTCAGGGATGCACAATCCCTCCAAGAGGTCCCAGGCATGTATACTGCAGGAAGCACAAACCCAGTACCACTGCTTAAGATGCAGCATGATCCCTTTTGCATATCTGTCCAGCTCTGTATATTCAATTGTACTGCTGTCCTTCCCTCACTGCTTTGGGATGGCTAGTAAGAAATAAACAGTTTACACTCAGTGAAATTGTTCATGGCCCCGATGCAAGGGTGTGAGGTTCTTTCTGCCCATGCCCATTTTTCTCCTTCCCTTTTTAGACCAATGTGTGGATAGGGCATAAAGTGGCCATTACTGAACTCATGAGAAGAGAGTTCTCTACTGCTTACTTGAACATGAGCAATATCTTTTCAAAGGACAAGGGAGAAAACTATTCTTTAATTTATACTTTAACATTTTTATAATTTATACTTTTTAACTTTTCAAGATAAACCAGTGAACTATGATTTTTTTCAAACACATTCTCTATCAAACTTTGTCAGCTTCCTTACGGACATCAAAATAAAAAAGAGGTAGAGGCAGGGGGCAAAGTGGAAGCAATACTGCCTAGAAATTAAAAACAACTTAATTTCAACCTCTACGATGTAAAGCCCACAATAACCTAGCAAGAACAAAGCTCAAAGCTAACATGCAATCCAAAATCAGAGCCCTGTGGAACAATTTGGAGGATTGGTGATGGTATATCACCATACTTCATACCTTTCAGTAGCTGGTTCAAATTTGGGATGGTGAGTAATGACCAAAGTCATTCCCATTCAGTTTGTCAAGTGACATTGTGATTGCAGTCTTGTTTCTAATGCGTAAGCATTCACATTACAAATGATGTTCATTGCTGGCAGACAACCTAAAATAACCTGAAAACAGATAATCTCCATCTCTCTAACTACAGCAGTAGCTCCTCCTAAATTGGGGCCGAGGCATACCGATAAGGAAATGTGGAGAAGCTTGCACTGCTGTAAATGCTGCATGAATAAATAGAAGACTTCCATCTCCAATCCCATCAGATTTTAATGAGTGCTAACAAAAAATAACTTCAAGGTGAAAAAAACAACTAGAAATCTGAACAGCCATGCCCATTCAGGCACAAAGAGAATCTACAATATATACAGAAAGGCAACCCTTTTTTACTGTCAGTTTTAGGTAGGAGACCAAATTTAAAAAATCCATCTCTCAATAAGTGACCTCTCCAAACACTTACCATCTGAGCTACCTGGCAAGGCTTGTGACTGTGCGCAACTATTCAGCATTCCTTTGAATTGGTCATAACAAATACAATTATTCCCACCAGTAACTGGATCAAATAGTGGTCTGAATACCTAGAGAAATAAAAGGTTTTCTTTCATTCCTTTCTCTAATTTCTAACATGTTTATAGAAAAAAATAACTATTTGACTTTAGTTGTAAAAAATCATAGCCATTTAGTTCAAAGTTTAAGAAGTTACTCAGCTTATGCAGTAAGTGAGGTTTTTCAAGATGTATGTCCCTGGTGATGCTCCACTTAAGTTGCTGTTGCGTCCTGGTGCCGTCAATGTGAGATTTTCAGTAGCAGTATCTGATTGGGGTCTCTATGAGCAGTAGCAGTCTCATGGCATTGTTGGTGCCTCATCTAGCACACCCACACTCTGACCCCTTCAGTCCCTTCTCTACTGTGGAGAGTACTCTGAAGTAGCAGAGAGGAGGGTGGGTAGTGGAGCACCCATAGAGAGACACATCTCAAAGCACATCAGTTATTGAACAAGATGAGTAACCTTCTCTTCTCTGAGTGTTATCCCTATGGGTGCTTCAAATGAATATTGAGCAGTACGTGCGGTTTGTTACTGAGACTAGTACAGTGAAGCCTAGTATAGTATCTGAGCTTGTACTGAGAGTAATTGCATAATGGTTCATGAAAGGGTGTTCAGAGGCTCAGGTGGTTACCCTATAGAGATCTATAATGGGTTCATTCCATAGGAATGTTATGGAGGTAGCTAAAGATCTTGAGTGGGTTTTGAGGTCTCGAGGGACTTCAGTGTTGAGTGGTGAATAGCACATTTAGATATAGCTGGATAGCCATTTAGATCATCTTTGAGTAGATATGGAAGAGCTCTTCATATGTTCTGCTCTTGACACAGTCAAGGTGATTTTTTGGAAGTGAACACATCCAGGGCACGTCTACACAGCAAGGCTAAAGTCAAATTAAGATACGCAACTTGAGCTATGTCAATAGCGTAGCTGAAGTCAAAATAGCTGAATTCAGTTTTTGGCATTGTCTACACCAGTGGTCCCCAACCTTTCGTGGCCACTGGGCGTCTGGGGGTGGGGCCGCTCACGCACCACGCTTCTGGGGGCGGGGCCACACATGCGCTGCACGCCCGGGGTCAGGGCTGCCCACGCGCCATGCACCCGGGGGCAGGGCTGCGCATGTGCTGCGCGCCCGGGGTAGGGGCCGCCCATGCACCACGCGCCCGGGGCCAGCACAATGTATGTGCCGTGCGCTGGGGGGGGGGGGGGC